CGTCTGAGGTTGTCAATTGATTAGATAACTATTTTGATGTACAATCTATATGAAAATTGTGTTATTACACCTAAAAGCAGTATATAACAATATTATTTCTAAATAAATTAATAAATACTACTTATTTCTAATGAGTACCATGTGCAGAGAGATGGAAGTATATTGCATTGCTCCCATGCTCGTGTTTGCATGTAAAACGGCCTGCTTTCCCAATACACGGATAAAAATCAGAAAGTACAAGATAGAATCGTTGGATTCATTTCAGATGATTACAACACTTTTGTCTATTGGAGCAGAGAACAAGTTCAAATACCCACACAAAAGAGACAATAAGTTAGGAAGGAGAAAAGATTGCTTTAATATGAGCAAGGCTCTACAATTTTCTGAATTGAGTTAAGTCTTCAAAGTAGCCCATAAAGTAGACTTCTTTTACTACTCATATTAGCCATAAACATGAAAACTGTGTGGGAAATTTATTTAAATCCGTAAGCCCAAAGGGATTAAGTGTAAAATTGGTTTCTTTTTAACCAAGAAACCACCAGATGGATCTGCTTATATAATCACTAAGTTCCGGATGAAGTTTAGTGATGGTCACTCGTGTACACACCGTCGATATGATTAACGTATTACGCCCCATAACCGTGAATATTTTTGGGTACAGCATGCGACTAAAAGCGCCTGTTGGTCAAATGATGGAGCAATAAGGTAAATCTCCTCGACCGCGCAAAGATAAAATGTTTATTGTTCATTATCTCATTGTAGCAACTGATTTTGGCAAATGAATCCTCGCTTTCGTCCGTGATCTGAAGCAGGATAATAAGCATGCAGATTGGAATAGTTGAATTAACAATCTTCCAGAATGCAAGAAATGAATTAAAGGATCCATGTTGCTTTGAGTAATTCTCAATTTTATTCACTTTATTGGGGCAGTATTGCTGAAGTAAATCCTCTTTACGGAGTTATTTAAAAAGATTCCTTTTATTTTTGTGGATTTTTTTTCGGGCTTCCATTTGCTGACAGTGCCTCTTTGCCCAAATTGATGTAGCTTATTTTTCGAATAAAGTATTGTTCTCGTGACTACCAGTAAATCAGTAGTATGAGATGTATTCTCACAATTTCGTTTAAGGTGATGAATGACTGGTAGAAGAACAATTTTCCCACAACCATATGAGTTGAGCTGACGCTTCCATTCAATTTCACATAGCCTTGCTTTCACAAAAGTTATTCTCATTCAGGCAGGGGTCGACAGCAGTTTCGACCTCGCCTGGATCTTAGCAACACCCCCAGCAAGACTACAACCATGACAGTGCACCGTGTAAGCTCAACACGCCAACCACTACTCCACATGGCCACGAATGCCCTCGGAACCAAGAGCGGGTGTGAATTTCAAGGAATGTCAAGCATTTTGTCACATCACATTCTATGCTGGAATTGTCGATAGAGCAAACTTATATTTGCCATGACAACCAATGATACAACTTTTTTTTTTCGTTTTGAGTAGGCTTTTAAGACTACCAGTAAATCGGGTATATGAGATGTGATGAAACAGGGTGAACACATCTCATAAATATGATTTGTTAGTAGTCTATGCAACCTACTTAAAACGAAAAAAAAAGAATTTCGAAGCCTTTTAGTGTAATCTGCAATTTTTCATCGGGGCCTAAACCATCAGACTTTACAAATCGAAAAGACGAATGCTCTCGAACGAGTGCAATTTTGCGGATTTTCGTATAAACATGAAGCAGAGATTCGCTTTCAGGTGAGACCACTGGTGACGGGATGAACCCACGACAGGGCAAAGCTAGACTCACATCGGCCTGATATTTGGCATTTTTAAAAAGGACTTGTACCAAAAAATCCTTTCATCACAGAGTCTTTGGTAGACAAAACTTCCGATATAATACCAGGTTTGCGTTTTGCACCGATATGTGGGCTGTAAAAATGGATAAACGAATGTTCCCTGAAGGTTTTCACTTATTTGCCTCGGCCATACTACGGCCGGACTGGGCAGATGTCAATAGCCATCATTGTGTTTGTGCGTCTGTTCGACGTGGAAATGATCAGGCAGAAGACGTCAGGCGAGGCGATATGCTGCGTGGATCAGGTCACTTGGGCACTGTCAGCCAATCACAATTGACTGGTGGGTATAGGATACATGTTGACGACATAAACCGAGACTTCATGGAAAGAAGGCCAGATCCGATCTGCTGGAGATGGGCACAGTGCAAAGCAGACGCCGAGACCTCTTCCAAAATCGGTTGGTCCGGCATACGATAATGAGGGAGGACTATTATGTACCAGAAAGTGGATCTGAGATCAAAAAGGCAACAGATGAAGCTTTGATAACATTCCTACCTTGCGATTTGCCCATTTTGCTTAAGAGGTAGGTTGAACCCTTGATTCAGATCGATTTGCAGCCAAACCCATAAAACTATTTGGGTCATCTTTGCCTTTAAATAGCAAAAATTCTATTTTTGGCTAACTCATAATAAAAATATTTACGGAGCCTGCTTGGGGTTAATT